CTTGGAAGGGCACTAGTCACAGGCATGAAGGGAGAGTCACTGAATGGGCTGTATCAGCACTTCAGTGTAACTGATCAAACACTGAACCTTTCAGTAATCAGAGTGCTGGAACATCCATATAACTGAAACGAGGCAAGTTTCTTTATAAGGAGAGGCATCAGCCTTCCCATTAACATATCAATGGTTTAGCTCAAAGGATGATCCATCTTATACTAAAATATTCAAACCTAAATTGGTTTTGTCAGTGAAGTTAAGGATATGTAAGAGTAAACTTCTCCCAAAAGCCCTACAACATGAGTTTCTAGTAGGTTCATGGTTTTGATATTACAAGCCAGATTTTCAAATTGATAAATTACTCTACAAAAAATGAGTTTGGTAATAAATGCAGCATGCTCTAGTCACATGCATATTCACATATCATGCCCCAGTTCTCTTACAGTGTGTAATAGCTAAAACTAATTTACAAGTTTGCCATAAAACCTACAGAATTCAATTGAAAGACTCAGATTGACATCAAGTTTCAGAGCACTACAGTTAAAATAATCAATTTCTGAAATAAATAGTAGATTACTTCATACGGGCAACCAAAAAATTCTACCAATCCTGTAGCCTTCGTTTATAGAACAGGTTACTCTCAAGGGTCAGTAATGTTGTATCAGGCTCCCAATGGCACATGGACAGTGGTGAGGGCCACCAGTCACACACAAAGTATCGTACACTGCTATTAATGACAGGCAAATTATTTCCATTTCAACTTTAAGAAACATAACTCGTAAGCAAACCTACATTGAAACATGACATCATTTCGCTATTTGGCCAGCAGGATATGAGCTGTTTCCACAGAGAGAATATCAGTTAACCCAGTAACACTATTAGAAGTTTTTTCTATCTGAAGTCATACTGCAGTTTCCTCTTTGTTCTCAGCACAGTATTTTCTGATTTTATTTTCCTTAAAAGAAGCACATTTATAGCAGAAAATGTAAAATTTAAGCTGAGTCTCCATTTAGCCTACAAACACCTTTGCTCAAGGAGAGGTGCTGTTGCATTTGTTCTGTAAGAATCCTCACACCTCCAGCAGTACATACAGTATTAGTCAGCAGTTTTACTTCTCTTCATTAAGAACATCAGCA